ATAACTGAAACACGTCTTCAAAAAAAAACAAGATACCGATAACTGATCTAAAGCAAACTGATTCATACTCTAATAGAGGAGGAACTCTTTTATATATAAAGTTAGGTCTAAACTACAAGTTAATAACTAATCTCCAAATCAACAAACCAAAAGAATTAGAGTCAACCTTTATTGAAATAATCATCTGAAAAAAATATAATTGTTAAATGCATCTATCGTCACCCTTGTGTGTGCATCACTGAATTTAATGACATTTACTTACTAACTCTATTGAACAAATTATCAATAGAAAATAAAAATATTATTTTAGGCGACTTTAATATCAACCTCTTAAATTGTCATCTATCTAATGAGGTATCAGCTTTTCTTAACTCTATGTGTTCTAACTCTCTCTATCCACTTATCACTATACCAACAAGAATAACTATACAATCTAAAACACTCATTGATAATATTTTTGCAAACTTTTAGCCTGCAAATATTAAATCAGGCAATCTAACAGTATCTCTTGCTGATCATCTTATCCAATTTATTGCTTTGCCATGTAAAACTAATAAACCTATTAAACCTATTCACAACAAAACATAATGTTGCTCCTATAAAAACTTTAATCAAAGTGCATTTCATGATAATCTTACAACAATAGATTGGGATCCTGTAACCAAAAAAGCAAAAAAAAAGCATCAATAGTTCTCTCTCAAAGTTTTTAGAACTCATTAACAAGGTACTTGACCATCATGCACCTTTTGTACTGAGTACCATTAAAGAAAAATAAACCTCATCCAAACCAAAACTGCTGGCATTATTAATTCCATAAATATAAAGAATAAACTTTATAAAAATTGCATCAAATGAACAGATCAAAACAGGAGCTCTTAAAACTGGAACTCGTCAACCAATTCAAAAATTACAGAAACAAAATAAGCAACCTAACTCGTATCTCAAAAAAAAACATATTACTCTAAATACTTTAATGAAAACGTTAATGACCTCAAAAAAACCTGGATTGGAATAAAAAACATTATAAATATAAAAGCAAATAATAATAATACTATAAAAAGTTTACTTTTAAATAATCAGATTATTACTGACAAAAAGCAAATCGCTAACTTATTTAATGATTATTTCTCCTTAATTGCAGACAATCCATCATCAAAAATTATACCTTCTCGGCATAACTTTAACTTTAAAAAACCGTAATACAAATTCATTTATTGTATCCCAATTAACCACAAGAAGTAAACAATTATTTTTCCACAATGAATCCAAAAAGAAACACAGGTCCCAAAGCATTCCCACAAATATACTTACCTAAGCATCAAAAGAACTAAGTTATCAATTAACAGCTATATTTAATGAATCATTTAAATCCGGAACATATCCTGACCTATTTAAAATTGCTAGGTTTATTCCAATCTTGAAAAAAGGCTTAAACACAAATCATCTTAACTATCGACCAATATCACTACTATCTAATATCAGTAAACTGCAGAAAAAATTTATACATACGAAATTAGAAAGTTTTTTAAGCCAGCACAACTGTCAATAGAAGCTTCAGTTTGGATTTCGCAAAAAAAAATTGTACTAACCAAGCACTTATAGACATAACTGAAACTATACGGGAAGCTTTAGACAATAACATATTTACTCGTGGGGTTTTTATTGGCTTAAAGAAGGCATTTGACACTGTGGATCATAGAACTCTGTTATCAAAATTATATCATTATAGTATCCGAGGAGTTGCTCACTCATGGTTTAAGTTGAATCGTTCTCAATTTGCTACAATTTCTGATATCTCTTCTAATACCAAATCAATATCTGTAGGTGTTCCACAAGGTTCAATTCTTGGCCCTATCCTTTTTCTTATCTACATCAATGAGTTTAACACATACACCAAGTTCTTAAAAACATATCATTTTGCTGATGACACTTATGTCCTAATAACTGAAAAATCACTTAAAAAAATAAATCAACACCTTAATTACGATTTGGCCTTCTTGGTTCAATGATTAAGATCAAATAAAATATCCCTAAATGCAAAAAAAAACCTGAAATAATTCTATTTAAACCACACTCTGTACAAATTCATAAAAAATTAAATTTGAGAATCAGTGGCCAAAAGTTAAATCTTGTTAGCCAAATAAAATATTTAGGAATAATGTTAGATGAAAATCTTTCCTTCACACACCAGCTGAAGCAGACTGCCCTTAAATTCATCTGTGCAAATGGAATGTTGGCAAAGATCTTACTTTGTAAGCTACGAGATTCTCATAAATATATGGTATGCTATATTTAATTCACATATGCTTTATGGTTGTCAGATATGGGGGCAAAATCAGTAAAAGTATACAAAGATCCTAGAACGCCTTCAAAACAAATTACTTTAAATAGTTCATTTCCAATCTAATAGATTTGACTCAAAAAAATCCTCTACAATCTCTCAAAATAATGAATCTAAAAGATCTAATTTTGCTTCTGAATTGCTCACTTGTATGGAACAGTTTGTATAATAACTTACCAATAAGCTTCAATAGTTATTATAAAGTTGTTAATAAAAGTCATTGCCATAATCTTAGATCGGCGTCATGTAACAATCTTGTAATGTCTTATGTATTGCATTAATTCCATTAAATATAAATCCATTAAATCATGGAATTATCTTCCCTCTGAAATCAAGACAATCTATCGAAAAAAAGGAAGTAGAGCCTTCTTCATTAAAAAGTCAAGAAATTTATCCAAGATAAAAATAATAAGTAAAGCTTCTGCTGTGTTATTTATCTCAATAATTGTTTTTCATGCCGTTTTGACCATACCCTTTGAACAAAAGTCAAATTCAAGTTGTTTTTGTCTCTTTTCTTAAATAACATGCCATTGGTGATGTTCTTGTTACTGTATTTAAAAGTTCTATTTAAAAGCCTGTTATTTTCAGCTTCTTTTTTTTAAAGTGCCTTCTTTTTTGCTTTTTGTTTTTGCTTTTTAATTATTATAATATTATTATTAATATTATTATAATATTACCTGATATTATTCATGTACTAGTACTATGTTGTACATTTTGTTAAATTTTTAATGAATATCTGTAGGTCGTCACGTTTTTGTCAGTTGAATAACTGTTTGTGACTGATCCTAACTTTGTATTTATAAAGTGAAATAAATGATTGATTGATTGAAACTGTGCTCAAGTAAAGTATCAACAAAATGTTTAACATTATTATTAGAATTATGCTTCAACAAATTAACGTTTGTAACTATGTAAACATGCTTTTATGCGTTATTAATTTTGTTTAAGAATGAGCTAAGATGAGTTTTGAATGTTTTAAAATTGTTACCTGTTTGTCTATTTTGAATGTTTTAAAATTGTTACCTGTTAGTATTTATGATTATTTTTTTGTTAAAAAACTCGAAATAATCCCCCGAGAAAAAATCCCCCTGAAAAATATCCCCCTCCCCCCCCAAAAAAAAAAAAAAAAAAAAAAATTTTTTACTTAAAAATTATTAATATGTAGTTATGTTTATTTATTTATTTTAAATATTTTTATAAAATACTTCATTTTTCATCAATGCACTATTTCTCGAAGGTTGTGAATGTGAAACCCTAACCCTGACGAACTGCGAACTGGTAAAATGTGAACTCTTTTGCGAACCATCGTAGTTAATTTAGCGGTATATTTTAAGGACTATTAAGCGAAAAAATTATTTAAAAAAAATAATAATAAAAGGAAATTAAGTGAAACTAGACGAATACAATATGAAAAAATATATATATTTTTTAATTATTTGATAGACTGCCTGCCCTAACCAAACCCTTAGTCGATGTAGTAGATATATATATATATATATATATATATATATATATATATATATATATATATATATATATATATATATATATATATATATATATATATATATATATATATATATATATATATATATATATATATATAATTGTATATATATATATATATATATATATATATATATATATATATATATATATATTTATATATATATATATATATTTATATATATATATATATATAAAGCTAGAAAAAAATTTGATGTTTTTATTAACTAGTTTATTAAAAGTGATAGTCAGTCTTGTTGTTTTGATCATAAGCAATTTTGATACAGATAAATAATTAGATGTCTAGAAAGTTTTAAAAACTTAGGCCTTGCAGATGAATTCTTAAGTAATTTGATAGTAGCAAGGTGCAACAACAAATTTAACACATAAGGAAATCTAAATAAAATATTGCAACTTTTTATAACAAATAGCACTGGATTTTCGGATTAGCGAGTTCGTACACCGCACGAGGGCGGCAAGTAATTTGCGGCGAAGTTTTGTTATTTTACATGTTGTAATTTTGTAATTGTAAATGGGAAAAAAAATCTATTTAAATAAAATTTTTTTATGATATATGTAAATTAAACATCACATTGCAATGTATTGCTTTTGAATTTAATCTGTGATTATTTTTCATAAAATTGTCAGGGACAGCAAAAAAATGTCGCTAGAGAAAAGAGTGCTTAGACCGACACTGATAACAAGCTTTATATGAGTTTTTGTTTTTTATTTTTGCTTGAAACTTAACTTGGACAGCCGCTGCTGACTTATATATACTAAACTTCATAAAAAGACATTTTTTTAAATTTACTTTGTAATTTTTGTTGTATTGATTTTGACTTGATTTGTTGCATTTTTTTTTCAACTAATCCATTAACTAATAAAGAACTTTTTCTTAACTAATAAAAACTTTTTTCATAAATTATAACGAATTTTTTTTTCAAATAATGGAGGATTAGGTTTTAAGAATTATTGCGCTACTTACTATTCTAAATACCTTTGTGTTTTAATTAATTTTTATTTAATGTATATTTATTTATATTTGGTTCAATTTAGTATTGTATTTATAGTATTAATTTATATTTTATTACTTTTTTTAGCTCTAATTTATTAGTTTTATCTTTATAAAATTGTAAAAGTTTAAATTACTTACTTTAGACATGTACTCAATATTTACCAACTTTGTAGCTTTAGGTTGGTGGATTTAAAAATATTAAAAAGCTTCAATTTTAAGATTTGTAAAATAATCACAGGTTTTAAAAATTTAAACTATTTACGGGGGTTGTTTTATTCTATAAAAATACAAATTTATGAACAAAAATTGTATAGATTAAATCAATTTATTCATTTTTTTTAGTCAATCTTAATATAAAGGTTATAAGTTTTAGTAGTTATTTTACATAAACCTAAATTATTATTTATTATGACTATGGACATGATAAATTAAGCGCGGCAAGTTTGGCACGGTACCAAGAAAAATATCTCTGAACAAAATTCTTAGAAAATTGGCTTGATTAAACGGATACGCTTAGGGGGTTTTATCTTATCAATGATTTTATCTTATCAGTGATGAACTTAATAAACTTTCAAATTTTGCAAACTTTGGTTTACTGTTTGTTAGTTTTTTATGTTCGATGATAAAGAAAATAATAAAATGAAATATAATTGTATTTTTTGCTTTAATTGTTTATTTTGATAAATTTTACTATTAAAGTAGAACTTTTCATATTACTTTGTTGCACTTATAGTTATAGAAAACTCCTTAAAATCATAGTTAATAGACTTAACCTGGTTTGTAAACTCCGTAAAACTCATTATTTAACTTATTGACACAAAAATAGAGCGTAAATCAAGCGTGAGCGTGCACACAAACTTATTAATGTTGTATAAATTATAAAACGTTAATAAGTTTGTTACAACGTTAATAAGTTTGTTACAACGTTACTAAGTTTGTTACAACTTTAATAAGTTTGTTACAAAGTTAATAAGTTTGGTACATTGTACTATAATGCTATATAGCAACAGTGGCGAATAAGGACTTCTTGGGGCCCAAGGCTATTTTTGTTTTTAGAGGTCTTTTTTTGGGCCAGAGCCTAAAAATGACTAAAAAGAAAAAAGATTCTCTAAAATTTTTGGGGCCCCTAAATTTGTGGGGCCCGGGCTACAGCCCCCCCCCTTCCTTGATCCGGTAATGCAACATAAGAGTTTGTGATATAACGCAAGGAAGTCATTATGATATGTTTTAATAGTTATCACATTCTATATATTATCTGTAGTGGTTGTTTGTAATTGATTTTTTGGTTATTAGATATTTATTTAGTGTTAATTTAAAGTAAAATATGCCTGGAGATAATTGCAGTATAACAAATTGTGGTACTTCAAGACGAACAAAAGGTATTGGAATATTTAAACTTCCTTATTCGAATTCTGCAGATCCTGCTCATCAAAAATGGCGATCTGAATGGTTAAATTCAATTACAAAAGGACGTGTGATTGACCAACAATTTAAAAGAAAATCAACTCTGGGAAAGTCTTTGCTTGTGAAAAGCACATTAAAGAAGATGATTTTAAAATACGTGTTTTATTTTTAAAAATTATATATATATATATATATATATATATATATATATATATATATATATATATATATATATATATATATATATATATATATATATATATATATGTATATATATATATATATATATATATATATATATATATATATATATATATATATATATATATATATATATATATATATATATATATATATATATATATATATATATTAAGAAACAAGACAAATTTTTTAATTAATAAAACCATTTTATTAATTTTAATCAATACATTTTTCGACTATCACTAGTCATCTTCAGTTGAATTTAATTCTTTGACTTCACCATCACCTATCTCTTTGATCTCACCATCAAGACTTGAATTAATAATTCAACAGCATCGTCTGAAATTGCAAGATAGGATCAAAACAATGCAAGAAGAGCTTATTAGCTTAAGTATGATGATGGACAGTGAATTGCATAGCGATTTCTTTAAATGAATTTATTTTGGCTAGAACGAAAAAAGTTATTTAGGGTTTCCTCATCAGGAGTTAAGTCACCCAATGATAATAAGGTATTGTTAAGGTACTAAACTATTGTAGCTTATCAACGTTAAATAAATTTTTAAAATAAAAATAAATAAAAATGTTATTCCATCGCATCAAAATCTATCAATATTTTGTTTACAACTAATATAGTTCATAAAGTTCTAAACAACTTTTTCGTATACTCTTTACAAATTTCTAAATTATCTGTTTACAACACATTTGAAATTTATTTATAATAGTTTTATTTGAAATTTTTATTAATTTTGTAACAAAAAAGTTTTTATTTTCCGGTCCTTGTATTTCCCGGTATTTTATGGGTACTATTATTTAACGCAACTATTCGTGAATGTTCTTTTGATAATTACTCCATACCAAATAAAAAGTGTGTAGTTTTTAATTTAACTACTTTTTTTTTTTGCAGATGTACGGTACCATCTCTCATGCAACAAACTTTATGACCGCTTGAAATGAGAATGAAAATTTTACTGTCGTTATCTCTACCATAAACAGTAATTGTAGCCGTGACTGGACGTTTTTAGAGTTGTATACATGGCCGCCGTGAGGGGGGGTCTACTGGGTTGTTTTGTCCCGGGCGCCAGGTCGACAGGGGCGCACGAAGCCGAATATAAATAATTTTTTTTTTCATGTTTATGTAAAAAAAAGATGAAGTACTGGGAAGCAGCGTGGAAAATAAGAAATCAAAAGCAGCCGGTCAATTTGACCAGCTAAAACATATAATAGACGGTCAATTGCTTTTTTTGGCCGGTCAATTTTTTTTAGTTTAAATTTTCAACTTTGTAATGAAGTGCTTCATAATTGGACTTTTTAAATAAAAAAAGAAATTAATGCTTTAAAACAAAGAAATTAGCATTACTTTCAAAACATTAGTTTTAAATAAAGCGATTCTTTTTATATAGCGGAAACTCGCAAATAAAGTGAATACTAATGATTAATTTAACAACCCATTGAAGTAAATGTTTAAAATAACTTTAGTGCACGGAGATTTTCATTCGATTAAAAAAATAAAAATTAGATTAAATCCAAGTAGTTTGATATTGATATAAAATATTAAAACAATTTTATTAAATTTATTTCTCTAATTTTTTAAATCTCTCAAATTTAAAACAATTTTGAAACACGTGAAAATATACACGTTTGTGCTGTGTTCTACAATAAATAACTCATTTAAAAAGTCAGATACTGCATATTTATCGTGCATATCATCACTTCTTAATGTAAGTATAAACAATTTGAGAATTTAGAATAACTTTGACATCATAAATTATTCTTATTGAAGAGGTCCGCCACCTCGATGCTCTGAAGCGATCCAACCTTTTTGGTCCAAAAGAATCTCTCACTTCCATGACGTTATTGAATGGAATATACCAGAAAGGTCTTCAGCCGCTTTTCGAATCAGTCTGCATTTTGCTGCGCATCTTCAACACCATCCCTGTTTCTGTTGCGGAAGGCGAGAGATTTTTTAGTAAGCTTGCTCTAGTTAAGACAGCCTTAAGGTCTACAATGAGCCAAGAACGACTCACGAATCTTCTGGTTATTTCCATTGAGCATGTTCTTGCCAAAAAAATGTACTACGGTGAAGTGATTTCCAAATTCGCCATGAGTAAAGCTCGAAAGATCAATTTCCTCTGAAGTTGAAACAACAATAGCTGTTGTATTCTAGACAAATTTTTGCTCTTAACATATATATCCAAGTCAAAAGACCATTGCAATTATCTAGAAATAAACTGTTTAAATGTTCATTAATTAAAATTAAAAAATTCTATATTCTTTTATCCTCTTTGATTTGTTATCAAATGGCTTATTATATGTATTGAATTATGGATCATTAGATCAGCTTTCACTTTCAGCAGGGCGCTTGGGAAATTTTGACCCTGGGCGCCGCAAAGGCTCACGGCGGGCCTGGTTGTATACTAGATACATGAGCCATGGTGGTACAAGAAGCCGCAGAATTTTAATTTTTAATCTTTTAGTCTATTTTGGTAATGTTATTGTGGTTCTCAGTCATTGAGACTAAAACGGTTGAAAAATTCCAACATTACCTTTGTAAAAAATAAACCATCCTCGTCTAAAAATCTAAAAGGTTTATCTAATCACTATCAGTTTCGGCACAAACGGTTGATATAACTACTAGAGCTAAGTGTAAGATTTGAGGAATGCATGCCCCTATGTCATTTTTTGGTTGCGTTGATTAGATAGACTGTATAGAGCCAGTCTTTATTATGTTAATAATCATACGCATCAAACGCAAAAGTAACTTATCTTTGCATATGTGGATAACTTGATAAGTATTCTGTAGTCTGTATTACTGTAAAATATTCTGTAATTTTTAAAGATGAAAATAACTAATCCCTTCCTTTTTAATACTTGTTTTTCTCGTCTCAAAACGTTTTTTTTGTTAAACCTTATATCTTATAGTCAATGAAAAGTGTAGTTTACCGTTATATATATAACGGTATATATATATCTCTAGTCAAATGTACATTTAGGTTACAAATTTGATTACTTAAAATATTTTAATTCCATGATATTAACGAGTAATAAACAGACTTATCTACGAAGAGAACAAGCTGTTTGGTGTACATGCTGACGAGAAAATCAACTTTTTATGGAAAAGGGCAAATGTGTTCCCTCCCCTAAATTTTTTTCTTGAATGTTTTATGAGAATGTTGTAATATTATACTTCTTTAAATAATATTTTGGTGTTTACATATCAATATATAAAGTGATATCCACAAAGTGCTTTGTATACAAACTTTAATGGTTTATAGAGTAAATAAAAAATATGTATTATATAATACACAAAATATAATGTACAAAACATAATGTAATATGAATTGAAATATAAAAATTCATATAAGCATCCCTCACAAATATTGAGATTTTCTTATTAATGCCATCTAAGCTCTAATGCTTGAGTATTCTGACACGGTCGACGATACCGGGAGGCCAGGGGTACTTCTCCTCTCCCTCCCCCCCCTTCCCCCCACATTCTTTTGAGAGGATCTTTTTTTTTTTTAAGAACAGATTCTTTAAAGAATTTTTTTTTAAGATATAGAGGACTTTTTTTCACAAATT